AATTAAAAAACTGATAGAAATATTAATAAATATTAATTAAGTACTAGGAAATGGCATGTGGACACATGCTAATTACTTTCCCACTTTACTGAATAAGTCCCACTTTAACGAAATAAAGCATCTACGAAAAAAATAATTTTTCCGAACCTCCTCAACTCGTCAACTTCTCCAGTGAGCCTCTTCTTCTACAAGAGCTTTGGTGCTGGATAGCAATTGCCGAAGAAACTTGCCTGTGCACGAATGGAAAAGTCATTACAACCAGATCACAAAAGCGCAGGTACTTACGTTCTCTTGACGGACGTTTCCAGTTATGTCGTTCGGATCAAATCTCTGAGAAGCCAATATTTCAGAGGTCTTCCGGTGTCAAGGGAGGAACGTACTTATACCAATGCCTTGACACCTGATTGATTCCAGTTCCCGTTTCGCCTGGGAGTTCCACACGCTGAAGAAACAGTCCATTTCATGCCGGATACGATGGGAATCTAGTGGAAAAACCACATCGAGCAACCAGGCGGAGCTGAAGATCGTAGTGATGCGATGGAGACACTAAAATCTCCAGGGAGAGACTGGACTTACAACGATGGTAGAGGTGCGAATGCTTCTATAACCTGATCTGTTGAGATAAGCATATTCAATGCCCATGACATTCATTTTTCAGGTACATTATCTTTTGCAGCCAGAAACTAAATATCTCTCCAAACTTAACAACTTCATTAAAGTAAAGCCTTTCAGGAATCAATTTAGCCAATTTTCAAGACTGTGAAATGATTATAACTGCTCATGGGCTAGTTTTCCTAATTTTAGAAGAGGTAAAAATTAAATCTTTGTCTCTTATTTCTTTTTAGTCTAATTAGTTTAGTGAATATTGTGATGAACCTTGCCACTTTAATAAAGTATTTTTCTTTTTGTTAAGAAATTTACAAATTGACAATTAAACTGAAAGTGAGATTGAATATGATATTCAGCTCACCTTAAACCACTTAGAGGAGTATCTCTCTATAAATCTTTATCCTTACTTACAAACTTCCTAGCCTTAAGGGGTGACTTCAAACCTACACTATTGTTGCATTTGGTCTAAATGTTCTATGTGTTCAATTTTGTTTCAAACACTAAAAAATGTTATTAGTTTTTTAACTTGTTATGCTAAAGTTATATCCATTTTCATTATCCTATTGGTATTCTAAACTCAATTACACTATAGTAACATAAGATTAAATTATCCATCCATAGTTGGTCATCTTATAACCACACTTTAACATCTTTATGATGTTCTAAAATATGGGAAACATCATTTTCAATATCCTTCCTTCAATCCCACCAAATCCTTTTTCATCCATGGGTGGTCATCCTGTGACCATACTTTAATATCTTTATAATGTTCTAAAATATATGAAACATCATCTTCAATATCCTTTTTTCAATCCCATTAAGTCTTTTTTCATT